ACGACGGGTAACAGCCTTTTTCGAGTAATCCGTTTAAAGCCAAACACAGTATCTCCCGATGGCTGCTAGAGGCTAGACACACGTTCAAGACGAGAGAGCGTTCAACAGTTCTGGCCGCTTGCCAGCGATCTGCCCCGGAGGTTGATTAGTTTGTAATTGCGCATTGTTTTCCCTTCCCCCTGCCGGCGGAATAAGACGTCACGCGAAATAGACAAGAACGACAGGCTCACCGAACACGAACAATCTAAATACACGAAGTTAAACATCCCGCTGATATTTAACGTCTCTCGTACGACGTTCAAAGACGTATATGAGTCCTCGATGGTCCCTCGTTTCAGTTTCAAACAATGAGAAATATAGATGGTCAAAGAGTTAGAGACGAAAAGACGCTCCATTAGACTTTCGAAACTAGGAGAAGAAGATGTTTCCTTCCTCTCGAGACGAGATCGCACGTACTGGTGTTTAACTAAGCGAATGCGCCGACACGGGTCAGCCTTTCTCAAAGTCTTCAGAGAAGAAAATCCGAAGGGATTCGAGCCGAGCTTGGACGATGGAGGTAAGGACGAAAATTAACCCTTTGAACTCGCTCGAAGACTGCTTTTGTAGTCGTTACGACGAGATGAGGACCTTTCCCCATCTCTTATCTCTCTTCCTTCCCCCCCCCCTTCCCTCGGTTTCTGACTACAGATTTCGAAATTGAATTTCAATCACAAGCAGACACCACAGACCCGTCGGTGTCGTTACGGTTAGAAGAGGATCGTTACGAGTTACCCTTTCGCCTCGTTAACTTTCCATCTTTTCCGACTCGTTAAACGATGGATGACGAGGCGTCGTGCACGTGCACGCGCGAGATCGTCGTCGATTTATTCGCCTATTCGGAGCTTCGTAGAGTTTCGTTGCTCCTGTTCTCACGAGTTCACGCCGAGGAGAGGAAAAGTCGGCCCTCCCTCTAGCTCGTCCACGTAATCCGCGCGTAAGAAGATTAAAAGTTCCGTTGGAACACGAGCGACTTTCCTTCTCGATTTTCTCGGCCGAACGGACGAGACGTTCGAGACTAGTCGATCGACTAAAGATCGACGGGGGCCGTGGTGGTCGTTGAACGTGCGTTTGTTCTCGTTGCTTTTCCAATCGGGGAACGGAAAAATCCTCGATACGCCGCGTATCGACCGACCCGAGTGTGTTTGTACGACGGTCATCGAACCTCGAAAGGAAGCTCGCGAAACACGGCCAATACACGCTTCTCTCCTCTCCTCTTCTCCTCGCGCCGCAGTAGTCTCTCGCAGGTTTCGTGCTTTTTATTCGCGTTCCACCTGTCGCATTGTGCTCGAGCTAGCGCGAGTGGATGGACGCATGTCGCGAGACAAAATGCGATTGG